TCCCCCGGCCTGACACGCGCTCCCCTCCCCCGCCTTAGCGCCCGTGGGGGCCAGTCCGGGAGCGCGGGCACCCAGTGCAGCCTGCCCGGCCCCCAGCCAGCTCGCACAGCACCCATGGGTGCTGCCASGGGCAGCATGCAGCCGCCCCCCTTGCCCACGGGCCCCGCGAGCCCCGTGACCACGGTTTGACCCTGCGCCGGGTCCCTCCCCCGGCACGGCCACCCCCCCGTGACCCTTTTGCCGGCCAGCGGCAAAGGTGCCCCCGGCGCAGGGGCCGAGGTCGGCGGGGTCAAGGCGCTCCCGCCAGCTGCGCCGCAAATGTTCGTTAAGTGCTTAAACAAGCGGCCTCGTGGCGGCCCGCGGCTCCCTCCGCCACCGGCAGCACCCCCGGGAAAGAGGGCTCGGAGCAGCGTGTAATCCCGCCCTGCTTCGGCCGCGGGAGCCTGGCCAACTCGTGCCACGGTGGAGCCGCCCGCTGCAGGCTGCCCTTTGGCTGCAGAGACCGGGCGAACTTGCGCCGCGGTGAGGCCACCCCTCTGCAGGCTGCGCTTTGGCCGCAGAGGCCGGGCCAGCTCGTGCCACGTAACGCCCAGGCGCCAGCCCCCGGAGCCGTGGGTTCCCTGTGGGCCGTAARTCTTGGTGGCCGCCTGTTTCCCCTGACCCGGGGACCCGCTGTCCCCCCCTGCTGCCACCCCACTGGSGTCCTTCCTTGCCCAGTGGCTGGGCCAGGGGGCTCTGACCCCGGCATCCCCCGCTCTTCCGGCCACCCGCTGCGGGAGCCACCATCCATCACCGGGCCATCCGACAGCCCCGTTTTACGGGGGACAGCACTATATATAACTGCTAGTGACTGCCCCGCAGCTGCGATGAGTTGGGGTGGTCTCAGCTGGGCTTGGGGACGTGGGCTGAGTCCCTGTGGGAAATACTGGGGGGATCTGGGAAAAATCTTCCTGTCCGCAGCAGGAGCCTGTAAATCCCACTCGGCTGCACGACCTCACTGCAAGGATTGTGCTGGCGGGGGGGAAAAGCTAATGAATTTTTGCCTAAAAGGGAGCTTGCGGCGGGATTTATGAGGCAGGAGGCCCCCATCCCACCCCCCCGGGCCCCGCTGGGAATGAAGAATGAAGTCTCGAGCGACGGCTTTTACGAGCAATTATAGGAAACTGCTTATTTACAGTCGCCTTTGACCGACGGCTGGCACAGCTCCAATGGGCCCGGGAGATGGATGTGGATCTCCGAGTCGCCGCTGAGCACTGCCGAGCTCACGACACCCACGTCTGCTCCCCTCACAGTAACTCCCTCTCTCGCTCATTGTTTTTAGCCGCTTTTCTTTTCAGAAGCCATGTTGTCCCCATCACCTTCTGCGTCCCTGTCCCCAGCGCTGTCCCCAGGGCTCTCCCCCACGGCAACCTGACCTTCCATGGGGATGTGGCCCTGTGACTGTCCCCATCTCCGTCTCCACTATAGGGACCGTCCACTTGAGCCTCCCTTGGGAAACAGTCCTGGGACTGTCCCCATCCCTGTCCCCGCAATGGGGACCCTCCTCCTGACCCTCCCTGGGGACACGGCCCCTCCCGACCCCTCTGCCCCCGCGGGACCTTCCACCTGGCCCTGAACCCGGGGACCCCCAGCCACGCCCCCTCGGCCGCTAGGCCCCGCCCCTGCGGCGCGCTGATTGGCGCCCTCGCCGGCGCTCCGGGAGGGCGTGGCCGGTGACGTCAGGAGCCTCCCCACCTCGCATGTCCTTTTTTGGCGGGCAGCTCCTTATATGGGCAGCGCCTACGCGGACACTTTGGCGGGGGGTTTCGGTGCCACGTGACCCGCGGCGGGTGTCCCGCGTGGGGTCGCCCCGGTGCGGGGGTCGCCCCGCACGGCGCGGAGGGGCGGTCGGACGGGCCGGCAGACAGACCTGCAGACGGCCCCGCAGACGGCCACGCGCTTGCCCTGCCCCGCGTGGCACCCGCTCAGCYGCGCGGCGCGGGGCTCCGTGCGCGCACACGCCTTGCAGGCGGACCCACGCACACGCGCGGCAGCACAGCAAAGGCGGGGGGCCGTGCACGCACCTCGCAAGGGCTCGCACAAGCAAGCACATACATACACACACACACACACACACAAACACATACATACATACATGCATACATACATAAATACACGGGTGGCGTCCACACGCTGCCTCGCTCCCCGCGCCCTTGGCCTCACGCATCCCTCTCCCTACCCGGGCCGCTCGCCCCGGACCCGCCTCTCTCATTTGGGGTTAATTTCTGGCCATTTCCACCCACCTCCCCGGCGGGAGGTCGAGCCCTCTCTGTGTCGCTGCTGCTGCTTCTGGGGCCGGGTCGGGCCGGAGGGRACCCAGGCGCTCGGGGCGAGCGGCTGCTTCTCTTCCTGGGGCGGAGGCAGCTCCGGGTCTCCTGGCCCTGGGGCTGCCGTCCGCCGGGATCCCCCAGAGCCGACCCTGGCCCTCCCGCCGAGCAGGAGCCCCCGCTGCCCTCGCTTGGGGGAGGAAGGAACTTTTCCTCCTCTTCCTCCTCTGCCCGTCCTGCCCCGTGCCCCGGCGCCCAGTCCCGTCCTTCCACTCCCACCCCCTCCCCAGTGCACTCCTCCATCCCTCCCTTCCCCATCCCTCCATCTTCAGCGCACTTCTCCGCCCCGTCCCCGCGTCCCCCTATCCCGAGCGCACTCCCCCGCCCGTCCTTCCCCGGCCCTCCCTCCCCAGCGCACTCCTCCCGCTCTCCTTTCCCCATCCCTCCATCCCCGGCGCACTCCCCTCCGCCCCATCCCCCGGTCCTGAGCACACTCCTCCGCCACTCCTTTCCCCATCCCTCCGTCCTGCCCGCGCTCCCCAGCCCGGTCCCTCCATCCCCAGCGACCTCCTCCGTCTCCCCTCTCCCTCCGTCCCGCCCGCGTTCTGCCCCCGCGTCCTGAGCGCAGCCCCCCGGGCCACCCTTTCCCCGTCCCTCCGCACCCTCGTAGCGGCCCCGCCGCCCCCCGCATGGCCACGGCGGCGGGGCCCTGGCCGGCCCCGGAGCCGCCGCCCTGCGTCCCGGAGCCGGCGGGCGCAACCAAGGCGGCGGCGGCGGGGCCGGGGGTGGCCGAGAAGGCGGCGGCGGCGGCGGATTGCCTGGTGTGCGGCGACAAGGCGAGCGGGAAGCACTACGGGCAGTTCACCTGCGAGGGCTGCAAGAGCTTCTTCAAGCGCTCCGTGCGCCGCAACCTCTCGTACAGCTGCCGCGGCGGGCGCGACTGCCCCGTGGACCAGCATCACCGCAACCAGTGCCAGTACTGCCGCCTCCGCAAGTGCCTCCGCGTCGGCATGCGGCGGGAAGGTGAGCGGCACCGGCAGCGAGCCGCGCGACCGGGCRCCGGGCAGCGGAGCGGGCATGGGAGCAAGTGATGGGAGCGGGCACCGAGCAGCGGAACGAGCACCGGGAGTGAGGAGGAGGTACAGGGAACCGGACAGTGGACCGGGCACCAGGAGCGAATAGTGGAACTGGGCATTAAACAGCAGCCCGGGCAGCGGGACTGGGGAGCTGGGCTGGGAACTGGGCAATGGGCACTGTAAGAAGTGGGCATCGGATAGAGAGCGGGCACTGGGACTGGGCAGCACCGTGAGTGGTGTGAGAGGTGGGCAAAGAGCAAAGCGAAGAGGGAGGGGAGAAAAGAGAGAAGTCCAAGAGAGCAAGAGAAAAGCAAAAGGAAAGTGGAAAGAAAAAGGAGAATGGAGCTTGAAGAGGGGAAAGTGAAGGGAAAAAGAGGGAAGAGGGAGGAAAGGGAGCAGGGGGGAATGGGAAAAGAAAGGGAGAAAAGGAGAGAAAAGGGGCAGGAGGGAGTGGAAAAGGAAAGGGAGAAAAAAAAGAAAGGCAAGAGGGAGTAGGAAGAGGGAAAGATCATGAGGGAAAGGGTAAGGAGAAGTGGAAAAGAGCAGAAAACGRTAAGAGGGAGTGAAAGAAAAGGCAAGAGAGGGTGAAAAATTAGGAAAAGGAATGGGAGGAAAAGAATGAAAGGGAGTGGGGGAAAAAAGGYGAGGAAAAAATATAAAAGCACGAGAGAACAAGAAAGGAAAAGAACAGGGAAAAGGCGGGGGAAGAACGAAAAGATCAAGAGAGCAAAACGATCAAGAAAAAGACAAAAGGAAGAAAAAGGGAAAGCAAAAAGAGAGCCCAAAGAGAAAGAAAAAGGAGAAGAGAAAGGAAGAGAAAGGGRAAAAAAAAAGAATAAAGAAAAAGTGAAAGAGAAAGTGGAAAGAGAGAGAAAGAGAGGAAGGAAAGAGAAAAAAGTGTGTGTGGGAAAGAAAGTGAAAACTCTTCTCATTTTTTTCTTTTTTTTTTCTCATTTTTTCTTCCATTTTTTCCTTTCCCTCTTCTCTTGTTATCTCTCTTTTTGTCTCTCCCTCTGTCTTCTCTTCCCCTATTTCCACTGCTCCTGTCCCATGTCCTGTGGGACCTGGCCCGGGTGCCACCCCAGTGCTGAGGGATCCCCCTGGGACCCCCTTGCCAGCCCTTCTCCACCTCTGTCACATCATTTTGGGAGCGATCTCCTACAATCAGGGACAAACTTCCCTGATGCGAGCTCGCTGAAGCCGCCCAGAACACCCAGCATTCTCCAAAATCCATTATCCATCGCAAATCTCCCTAATGTTTTTGCTTCTTCCATCCCCCCCCTTTTTTTTTCTCCCCTTTCTCTCCCTCTTTTTGCCATCCAAATTCTCCATCGTTGTGTCCTCTGTGGTCACCCATCTCACTCCTGCTTCTCCTCTCCTTCCGTGCTTTTTACCAAGAAGGAAACATGACAGCGTCTGCAAGCCGCTGTGTTATCCGAACACCCTCCGCTTTTGGCCGCACCGCCAAAGGCTCTGCAGTGGAAACCTGTTTCCTATTTGCCTTAATTAAATCATCAGCAAAACTGCTCTTTTGAACCAGTGAACTTTTAGTTTCTTCGGGGCTTAAACTTGGGCTTGATTTATAGCTTCGTGTCTGCACAGGGATGGGAACAATTTACTCTTCCTCGCCGTTATGCGTGGGTTGGGGATGCCCTGCTTTTAGGGGAAAAAAAAAGAAAAAAAAGGGCAAGGAATTAGAGGGTGATAATGCAGATATCATCTAAAAGATTAGGACTTTGTCTCTGGGGAGGAGTGTCCAGCAAATCTGAAGTTAATTAGTCCGAATCGGCCACTCTTAATACTTAGCGTGACCGGGATTAAAATCGCATTTCAAGCTAACAAGGATATGAGTGTGCCGCTGCCTAGCTTGACTTTAACCAGCCATATAATCACGTTTTGTTTCTTTTATTTACTTAGCTTTAATGAAAGCATCAGCTTTAGAAGTGTTTGTTTTGAAGCCTGAAATGGTACGCGAAGGTGAAAATATGTCTGGGAAGCGTTCGGGTATCGGCCAGCGCRGGGCTGACGCTGAGCCGAAAACTGAGCCCTGAGCAGTGCGTAAAATGAACGTTCCGGGGTGTTCGGTGCTTAATGAAGGAACCGGTGCTGCTTTTAATTTTCCTTGCATTTTATCCTCCTAATTGCCCTGACGGTGGTGGTGAAGTGAAAGGGCTGCGAGCGGCGCGGAGGGCTCAGCCGCGGCTCCCGCGGGACCGCGATGCAACAGCTTGATTTTTATCCTTCCCCGGAGGCTTTCGGCTCGCCAGCGGGGTGGCCCTGCAGTTCAGAGCCCATCCAGTTTGGCAGGAATATGATCGTGAGCCGGGGAAAGSGGTGAAGGATGAGATTCTCCTTCCCTATTTGTGCTGCCATCCTAAAACCCGTCTGGCACATCCCTGATGACTGAGGTGTGAGGTTTGCACCCGTCCTTTCTTCCCTTGTCTCCCTGTTTATCACCCATGTTCTTTTTTGCTATTGAARCCCCTCTCTGATGGCTGGTGCTGGTTTTCCACTGGCCGGGAAGCAGCTGGTGAGGGGCAGGGACCCTTCGCCCATTTTTCAACCAGAGGTTTCTGCTGCAGGTTGGTACAGCGATAGTTGTGACACCCAGAGCAGCCAAAAAGTCACCCTGTGTATT